CCAACGTTGTCCTTGCTCCCAAGGGCGACACGTGGAGAATGTGTGTGGATTATACGGACTTGAACAAGGCTTGTCCGATGGATTCATACCCCCTCCCCAGTCCAGATCAAATGGTGGACGAAACTGCGGGGTGCGAACTCCTAAGTTTCATGGATGCCTTCAAGGGTTACCACCAAATCTACATGGCCAAGGAAGATGAGGAGAAGACATCATTCCTCACACCCGAAGGAACCTACTGCTACCGGGTAATGGCGTTTGGCTTGAAGAACTCGGGGGCAACCTACCAGCGCATGGTGAACAAGCTCTTCAAGCCACTACTGGGAAAGACCATGGAGGCATACGTCGATGACATACTGATCAAAAGCCAGGTATCTCTGAACCACCCGGCTGATATGCGAGCCACGTTCGATATCATGGCAAGGTACAACCTCCGGCTGAATCCTAAGAAATGCGTCTTCGCGGTTCGTACCGGGAAGTTTTTGGGATTCATGGTGACCAAGAGAGGAATAGAGCCCAACCCAGAAAAAATCCGAGCTATCACTGAAACGCAGGCCCCTACCTCCGTAAGGGATGTTCAGAAGTTGACCGGTCGTTTAGCGGCCCTCAGCCGGTTCCTTTCCCGGTCAGCTGAGAGGTCCCTGCCCTTCTTCAAAGTTCTGAAGAAGGCCAACGCATTTGCATGGGACGAAGAATGCCGGAGGGCATTCGAGGAGCTGAAAGAGTACCTAGCGTCGGATATTGTGTTGTCTAAACCCGAACCGGGTGAAACTCTATATCTATACCTGGGAATTTCCCCAAATGCTGTAAGCTCCGTTTTAATAAGAGATGATGGGGCACAAAAGCCCATTTATTATGTGAGCAAAGCACTAAACGGATCTGAGAGTAGATATACGGCAATGGAAAAGACAGCCTATGCGCTTTTCGTCTCCGCAAAAAAGTTAACATCCTACTTCCAACACATTGAGTACCGGCCGAGGTTGGCAATTAAGGGACAGGCCCTTGCTGACTTCCTAGTAGAAATGACCGGTCTAACTCCAGACTTACCGGTCAACAAGCCCACTGAGCAATGGTGGGAGATGGCAGTTGATGGGGCATCCGGTCCTAGAGGATACGGGGGTGGTATCGTGTTCACCACCCCAGAAGGGTTCAAGATCTACCATACAATCGTCTTCAACTTCAAGCTGACGAACAATGAGGCAGAATATGAAGCTCTGGCTGGAGGGCTCAGACTTGCCCAAGCCCTGAAAATCAGCCGGGTCAGTATCAAATCTGACTCTAGCCTGATAGTAGGGCAGGTGACCGGTAACATGGAAGCAAGGGAAGGACGCATGGCACAATACAAGGACCTTGTACTTGCCCT